TTTCAAAGTCTCCTCTTGGGTCGGGGGTCCTTATGGAAGAAACGGACCCTCGGATCCTGACACTTTTCTCCCCTCAGGGGTCCCAGGTCCCGGTACGAGGAAGCTCTGGCTGGGAGAACAGCCTGAGACAGAAACCAGCCCGCCGGATCGTCTTCCAGGCGGGGCCCGTCTCTCAGGAGAAGAAAGTCAAAGAGGAAGTGGAAAGCATAGAAGGCTTCAAGGACCGGCACAAAATCCGGGTAGGGGTCTTCTGTCTGTTTGGTTTTTTTAATTCAAAACTCTTTGCAAAAAGCAAAAGAAGAAATATTCAGGTAGTCCTCGACTTACGATGGTTCGTTTTAACAACCGTTTGAAGTTACACCAGCACTGGAAAAAAGGGACTTAGGACCGGTTTTCACACTTAACGACCGTTGAAGCGTCCCCGTGGTCACGGGATCAACATTCAGACGCTTAGGCAACGGTTTCATCTTTACCACGATCTGAAAGCTGGCTGGGTGGCTTTAGGCCAATCCCCAGGAGATGTGAGTTCTAGTTCTGCCTTAGCCGTGAAAGGGTGGGATTCCAAAATCCCAGCCACTGGTTCCCTGCCTGGTTGCCGGGTGGGCCAAGCCATGGTGGGCTTGGCCTACCGGAACTTCTGGGAGGGTCATTTTTTTTTTGTCTTCCCCAGAGTTCGGAGGCTTCCCTCAGGCTTCTGGGAGGGCGAAAATGGCCTTCCCGAGCCCTGGAGGCCCTCCGGAAGCTGGAAACAGTAGATGTGAGTTCTAGTTCTGCCTTAGGCGTGAAAGCCGGCTAGGTGACTTGGACCAGTCCCTCTCTCTCTCTCAGCCCAGCCCTCACAGGGTTGTTTTTGTGGGGGAAAGAGCAGTGTCAGGGCTCCAACGTGCGCCCCCGTTCAAATCACAAGTCTCGAGCCACGTCTCTTAGAGTAAAAAAGTTTGATTTATTAGGAATTGATATGTCGATGTTTCCTGGCTGCAGCCGACTGACACATCAGTCAGTTCACCCTTGACCCTGGCCTTCCCCCCCACCCCCTGGATTATATTGTCCAATGAGAGACATCCATAGCCAAGAGTCATCAATCAGGCTCTGCAGTAATAATCTTGCATGCCAACAGCTTCGGCTGCGAAGACGATTATCTGCGGCATTTAAGGAATGCACTGCTTTCTCCCACTCTCTTTTTCTGGCAACTAAAAAGACCAAAGGCATATTTTTTTAGTTGACAAGCAGGAGGAAGGTGTGCAATGAATACGTTCCCTGGCTTGAATTGTTCATAAAAATACTAAAGCTGGGGTATACATTAAAGAAATATGCCTATAATTAATGGATTTGGGGGAAGGGGGCTTCGGAAAATGCATTTCTTCTTTGGGAGTGACGGTTTTGGGGGCTCAACCTTTCCGTTTCTGACGAGAGAAAGGATAGCATTTCAAAGTCTCCTCTTGGGTCGGGGGTCCTTATGGAAAAAACAGACCCTTGGATCCTGACGCTTTCCTCCCCTTGGTGGCGGGGTCCCAGGTCCCGGTACGAGGAAGCCCTGGCTGGGAGAAGAGCCTGAGACAGAAACCGGCACCCCGGATCGTCTTCCAGGCGGGCCCCGTTTCGCAGGAGAAGAAAGTCAAAGACGACATGGAAAGCATAGAAGGCTTCAAGGAACGGCACAAAATCCGGGTAGGGGGTCTTCTATCTGTTTGGTTTTTTTTTTTTTCATTCAAAACTCGTTGCCAAAAGCAAAGAAGAAAAATACGGGTAGTCCTTGACTTACGACGGTTCGTTTAGCAACTGTTTGAAGTTACAACAGGCACTGGGGAAAAAAATGACTTGGGACCATTTTTCACACTTATGACCATCGCAGGGGTCCCCGTGGTCATGTGATCAAACTGTCATCTTAGGATGGTTTGAAAGTCGGCTGGGTGACTTTGGGGCCAATCACCAGAAGATTTGAGTTCTAGTTCTGCCTTAGGCGTAAAAAGCTGGCTGTGTGACTCGGCCCACCAACAGGAGATGTGAATTCTAGTCCTATCCTAGATACAAAAGCCCAGTTGGGTGACTTTGGGCCAGTCACCAGGAGACAGTGAGTTGTAGTTTGTAGCATAGCCGGCTGGGGAATTCTGGGAGTTGACATCCACAAGGGCTCAAAATTGCCACGGTTGGAGGTTTCTTTGTGTACGCAAGGACCGTCTGTTTCTTGGTTCGAGGGCCGCTCCTTCCACCTCTTTTTTGCATGGGGGACTCAGTTTTCCTTTCCTTTCCAGCACTCCAAGAGGCTTTCTGGATTTATCCCGATAAACTACTCGGAAGAGAATTCCAGGCAGCAGGAGAATACCGAGGTCCAAAATGGTTGTGACTATCGACCAGCAAGAAGGATGCCAGAGTATCAGGTGGGAGTGAGCTCTCAAAGGTCCTGGGTGGGCTTTGGGAGGGAATTAAAGGAGACACTTGTATTAAGTTAGTCTTCCAGTAGAGTAGAGTAGAGTAGAGTAGAGTAGAGTAGAATAGAATAGAATAGAATAGAATAGAATAGAATAGAATAGAATAGAATAGAATAGA